AATTAATTTGCATTTGATCTCAGACTTAAATTTGGGATAAGTTCTGTTTAGTTCTATCTGACTTTACAGCCGAAGATGTTGACCCAACGAGGGAAGTCAAAAATAATGTCATGAGATAGACTGAAACATCAATACCATGAAGTAAATAAGATTTTAAGAATAAAAAGAAAAATTAATGGATTTAAGTCATTGCTTGCTTTGTTCGGAAGGGTTAAGTTGTCTTTGAATTGTAATATATTTTTAAAATATTTAAAATATTAATTAATACTAATATAAGAACCAAGCCTTCGAACCCAGTGGTTCGTCCTAATAGCTCGTTTTAATAATTCGTTTTCAAACTTTAAGTGTTTTAATGTAGTTAGTTGAGATTTTGACTCTCATCAATGCCTTAAAAAAATATTCTCCACCCTCAAATTCTCCAATGTTCAAAAAAAAAAATTTAATACTAATTGTTCTTCAAAATCTTTAAGTGGCTTTACACATGCGGAATCTGAATACAAATGTGTTACTTACTTTTTTAAAAAGCAAGAAAAAAAGATTTTCGAAAAAGTAAGAAAAAAAGATTTTCGCAACAATCCTCTCCTTTCACGCAGTCTACCTACATTAGGATGGCTGTAAGAATATTGGTTTAAAACTGAGTTTTGCGCCCTTCAAACAATTTGCAAGAGACAGAGATGCCTTTCTGCAGGATGTGTTACTAATCTGCCTAGAACAATCTCAAGAACTTTGCTATTATCATGAATTTAAGTTAATAGATCTAAAATGAACTGAATGAAAGGCAAATTATCGTAAACATGATGTTTATTGCATGAAAAGAAATCAAAGAAGCAATTACACAAAATAATTTGGGTACTTGAATGCTGAAAACAACATAAATCTATTGGGATCTGTACTAAAATTGAAATCTAAAAACTAAAATGAGCAATCACTATAAAACTAAAGAATTAAAAATTTGATGAGTTTCTGTGTAGGGTTAGCTATGTTTTGAAAAAATTCATAAAGCTTCTATTTGTATCCTTCTTGCAAACTGTTTTTTGGCTGATCATATCACAGATTACCTCCTTTCAAATTCTAGAGATTTATGTTTCTTTTAAATTCAACCTGCAACAACTAAATAACATTTATCTTCTTAACCAACTTTACAGATATGCATTCTTTTAGTGGATTTAATCTTACTTTATCTATTGGCATGTGGCATTACTTAAAAAATGCAATTTATGATGTAAACACTAATATAAAAATATAAATAGCATTTACTTATATAGAGTTTAACATTTATATTTATACAAAATTTTAATTAATTATTTATTAATTCTTAATTAATGAAATTTATCATGATTTTTT